AGTGGAAAAGGGGAGATTTCAATGTGGCTTTTAATTATAAAAAAGCAGGGTTGGAAAGAGAATTGCTTTATGTTGGCTTAAATATTTTATGTAATGTAGAGTCAAAGCACATGACTTTGGTAAAAATAGTACTTTTTAAAATAAACCGTTTCATGTTGTTGTGGTTTTTTTTTTCCTTTTCTTTTCCAGCTTTTGAAGAAAAATCCACCTTTCACCTTGGGCATGAGATTTCCCCTGACACACTGGCCAGACACCAAAATCTACAACAGTGGTGGACTGAAACCTGCCTACACGGGCTTTGTGCCACGTAAGTTCATCAGCTGAGTGAAAAGTGAAAGTCACCAATATTAATTACTGTGCTAAGTAGTGCTGTTATTAGCTGGGGTGGAATGGAAGTGAACAGTTGCTGAAATGTTCCACACAGGTAGTAGTTTTTTTTTTTTCTGGAGCTGTGCCTGCTGTGGTAGAGCCCAGAATTCCCACTGCCAGGCTCACCAGGGCACAGTTCCAGCCACCCCCCCTTTACTGAGGCAGGAGAGACTCAGTGACACCCCACTGGTCACATGTCAGGGAAAGGATTCTGTTCTGAAAAGCTTAAAATCTGATAAAAAGCAAAAGGTAGGTGATACAAAGGGGTTGAGATGGCATAAAAAGTGTGGGAAATGGGATTGGCCATCAGGACATGTGCCTGCCTGAGCCTTGTCAGGTCTTGGTGCTGCCTAAAAGGAAAGGTCTGGAGGAATTTTATGTGTAAGGGGAAAGTACCAGGCTAAAATCTCAACAAATCAGCAACTAATACATCGCTGTGTTTGGTCACAGCTCAGTAATGTGGGTGGGAAATCAGGGAGAACCAGACTCATGGCTTGTCCTTACTGCAGTGCAGAGGGAAAATAATAAAATAGATAAAATGTGGAAGAATTGAAAGCAAAGAGTGGGAAAATCATCCTGGCAGGGCTGGGCTGTGGCTGATGGAGAGGCTGAGGCAGTGAGTGTGGCTTCAGTGAGACTTGCAACAGGACCTGGGAAAGCCAGGCAGGAAAATCCCAGCTGGACACCCTGCCAGCCAGGGAGCAAGAGAAACCCACCCTAAAATCAAGGGCAAAAATAACTCCTCAGTGTTAATTCAGGCTTTAGGGATCTGTTGCCATCTTTCCCCCCACAGCCTGTTCTGTGCAGGTCTGACATTCCCACTTCCCTGCCCCAGGAGCCACCGGAGTCAGCACAGTTTTAACTGCTCCAACCAGTCCGGCTCTGGGTGGAGAAAATTAATTAAAGCTGAAAACCTTTAAACCAAAGCAGTTATGATTTAGAACCCTGACCAGAATTTCTCCATCAGGGAAGCAGCCTGTTCCCTCCTGTCCAGCTTTGTCACTCCAGGTGACAGAGCACGTTTTTTCCACAGTAAAACTGTGCTGTGTTAATACAGGGTTTCCATGAGACAAACCAATGTCACTGTCAGGTGTTCAGCTCACCCCAAAAGTAGAGGCTGCACCAACACCTGATTTAATTTCAAAATCCCTACAGTGATTTAAGGGCAACTGCAGCAGTGCTGTGTGCACTGTGTGCACAGGACAGCTCTGGAGTCACCTGTCCCCAGCAGTAGGTGCCACCCAGCCTGTCACAGCTGTCCCCAGCACTCCTGGGCCAGGCCACAGCTCCCCGCTGGGTTTGTAGAGCTGAGGAGCTGCCCTGGATCAGCTCAGCCAGTGCCAGGGACACCCTCAGTGCTGTGGCACTTGCTGGCACCATTTCATGCCCAGGCAGCTCAAACCTGCAGTGGCCCCTTCGTGCCCAGCCCAGCAGCTGCTCAGCCCCTGCCCTGCCAGGCTGCACAGGCCATGGGCAGGGACCTAAATTTAGATACAGCTTGGAGCCAATTCCACCCTCTGTGTGTGCCCCCCCTCCAGCAGTACCTGATCACAAGGGAATACCAGGGAATTTCTCCAGTTCCCACAGCAGGGCTGTCACCGTGCCAGTGACACATCACCTGGCTGAGGGCAGCAGAGCAGGGGCGTTGCCGTGGGGTGCTCATGCCAAGTCCGCCGTGTTCCTTTTCCAGACCTCCGGGACTTGTACTCGCTCACCTACGGGAACGGCACGCGGGAAGCTTACCGGAAAGAACAAAGGAGACGGGGCTTTGCACTGTGAAAACTGCTTTAATGGTGCCTGTACAGCATTGGGAGTGACTCGAAAACAGCAATAATAACACAACACGAACAGAACCTTTGAATGAGAGAGAGTTCATACAACTTTAAACAAAATTTACAGGTGTTCAACTGCATAGCTTTACTCTGCCTCCTCCTCAGCCTCCTCCTCAAACTCCCCCTCCTCCTCGGCCGTGGCATCCTGGTACTGCTGGTACTCGGACACCAGGTCGTTCATGTTGCTCTCAGCCTCTGTGAACTCCATCTCGTCCATGCCCTCACCCGTGTACCAGTGCAGGAAGGCCTTTCTGCGGAACATCGCAGTGAACTGCTCAGAAATGCGTTTGAACAGCTCCTGGATGGCCGTGCTGTTGCCAATGAAGGTGGCAGACATTTTGAGGCCGCGAGGTGGAATGTCACAGACCGCTGTCTTAACGTTATTGGGGATCCACTCAACAAAATAGCTGCTATTTTTGTTCTGAACGTTGAGCATCTGCTCGTCCACCTCTTTCATGGACATGCGGCCCCTAAAGACAGCGGCCACCGTCAGATAGCGGCCGTGACGCGGGTCACACGCTGCCATCATGTTCTTGGCATCGAACATCTGCTGGGTGAGCTCTGGCACGGTGAGAGCCCGGTACTGCTGGCTCCCACGGCTCGTGAGCGGGGCAAAACCGGGCATGAAAAAGTGCAGGCGAGGGAAGGGGACCATGTTCACCGCCAGCTTCCGCAGGTCAGCGTTGAGCTGGCCCGGGAACCGCAGGCAGGTGGTGACACCGCTCATGGTGGCCGACACGAGGTGGTTCAGGTCCCCGTAGGTGGGGGTCGTTAACTTCAGCGTTCTGAAGCAGATGTCGTACAGCGCCTCGTTATCGATACAGTACGTCTCGTCCGTGTTCTCCACCAGCTGGTGCACCGAGAGCGTGGCATTGTAGGGCTCTACCACGGTATCTGACACTTTAGGGGAGGGCACCACACTGAAAGTATTCATAATTCGGTCTGGGTACTCCTCACGGATTTTGCTGATGAGAAGGGTACCCATGCCAGAGCCTGTGCCACCACCCAGGGAGTGAGTAAGCTGAAAGCCCTGCAGACAATCGCAGCTTTCTGCCTCCTTCCTTACAACATCTAACACAGAATCGACTAATTCAGCACCTTCCGTATAATGGCCCTTTGCCCAGTTGTTTCCTGCTCCGCTCTGACCTGGAAAAGAGCCATTTTCGTATTAGATTACGGTCACTGCTTCCTGCTTATTGCTTGCAAGCAAAGCTTAAGAGCATCAGGCTCCACGAAAAAGCTTTCATCTTATCGAGCGCAAGGGCTGTGGTTTCACACAGGCACCTCCGCAGTGGCTCGGCAGACACAGGCAAAACATTAATTATCAATGATACAGCAGCCACTCCGTTTCTCTCGGTGTGGCAAGGGAGGCGGTAGCAAGAATGAGAAAGAGCAACGACCTCTGGTGCTGCCTGGGAGCTGCTCCCAGCCGCAATCCCGGTGCTCCACGCCAGGATAAGCCCCGGCGGGGCCGGTCCCTCGGAGCATGTGCGGCGGGGCAGCCCCGCAGTGCCCGGCCCTGCCCCACCCCGCGGCTCCTCCCGCCCCCGCGCACTCACCGAACACGAAGTTGTCTGGCCTGAATATCTGCCCGAAGGGCCCGGAGCGCACCGAGTCCATGGTGCCGGGCTCCAGGTCCACCAGCACGGCGCGGGGCACATACTTGCCGCCTGCGAACACAGCGAGAGCCGTCACTGCGGCGCCGGGGGGGCGCGGGGAGCCCGGGGGGGGCGGCTCGGGAGGGGCCCGGCCCTACCTGTGGCCTCGTTGTAGTAGACATTGATGCGCTCCAGCTGCAGGTCGCTGTCCCCGTGGTACGTGCCGGTGGGGTCGATGCCGTGCTCGTCGCTGATCACCTCCCAGAACTGCCGGAGAGAAGCGCGTCAGGGGCGGCCGCGCCGGGCCAGCCGCGCCCCTCTCGCCCCCCTCCTTTCCTCCCCCCCGAAGCCCCTTCTCCCCGCCCGGACCTTGGCACCGATCTGGTTGCCGCACTGCCCGGCCTGCAGGTGCACGATCTCCCTCATGATGGCGGCTGCTGCGAGCGCTCCCACGGACCCCAACCTTCCCCCAACCGACTCTGGCTGCGTGAGGCAACCGCCAGCCCTTATATAGCAGCGGAATGCGCGCGCAGCCGCCTTTTCCCCGCCCAGGAGTCCACGCGCAACAACGATTGGCTGCTTATAACGAGGCTCCACAAGCGAGACGATCCAGTTGGCCGCGCGGCTGTCACTCAAGCCGTTGGCTCCCGTTGGCCCCGCCCCGCTGTCTGTTGGCTGTGCTGTGGGAGAAAGGCGGCCTGCGAGTGCCCGCCCCGCCCGCTGAAAGCGCTCCCCATTGGCCGAATTGAATGATTGATGTCGCAGGCGATTGGCCGGCGGCCCCGGGGGATGAGCTCACGCCGCCTGATTGGCCGCGGGGGCCGTGCCCTGGTAACCGTCGCAGTGACTCCGCAGCGGGCGCTGGGCGGTGGCCGCCGCAGCCGCTCCTTCGCGGGCGCCGTGTGCGCGCTTTGCGCAGCGGAGGCGGCGGCTCCTCCTCACTGCGGGACAGGGGCGGGTTCCCTGCGGGCCCACACTGGTTCTCCTCTCCCTCCCCGTCCCGCTTCCCGCCGACCCCGGGGGCGCCGCAGCGGCGTTGTGTGTGTGAGGCGGGGGCGACAGCGCTACCCCGTGTGCGCACGCGCGGGCTGCGGCGGCGTTCCAGTACTTTCTGGCGCGCGGACCCGCCCGAGGGGCGGCGGGGGCGCGCGCGCGGGCGTTGTCATGGCGACCTCGCGCGCTCGCGCCCTGGGAGGGGGGAGGCGAGAAAAGGGGCTGGGGCGGGACATGGCGGGGGAGGGAGAGGGGAAGTGTGAGGGCAAGGCAGTCTTTGAGGGGCTATGAGAGTTCAGGGCGCTGTGAGGGCTCGGGGAGCTGTGACGGGAGCGTGAGGGCTCAGGGGTTCCGGCCGATATGGGGGCTTGGAGGGCTGTAAGGACTCAGGGGTCTGTGAGGGCTTAGGGGTCTGTGACCGAGCGGTGAGGGTTTGGGGGATCTGGGGGCTGAGAGGGCTCAGGGGGCCTTGAGGGTTTGGGGCTGTGAGGGCTTTTGGGGGAGGGGTGTAAGGGCTTGAGGGGTCTGACTGCTGTGAGGGCTCGGGGCTGTAAGGACTTGGGGGTCTGTGAGGAGAGTGCGAGGGCTCAGGGGCCCTTGAGGGTTCTGGGACTGTGAGGGCTCAGGGGGTCCAGCCATTGTGAGGGGACCATGAAGGTCCATGGGGCTTAGGTCCTGAGGGGTTAGGAGGCTGTAAGGACTTGGGGGCTGTGAGGGGCTGTGAGGGCTTGGAGGTCTGTGAGGGAATTGTGAGGGCCTAGGGGGCCATGAATGGTCTGGTGCTGTGAAGGCTTGGGGGGTCCAGCATTTTGAGGGAGCCATGAAGGTCCATGGGCCTGTGAGGGCTCGGGGGGGCTGTGAAGGGTTGTGGGGCCATGATGGCTCTTGGGCCAGGCTGAGCCGTTCAGTGCCAGCTCCCCTGTGCTGTGAGGGGAGTGCCCCTGTGTCTGTGTGAGGTGGGTGCTGCTCACTGAGGCTTCCCCTTGGTGGCCCCTCCGTCCTGAGCTGTGTGTGGGTGCTGCAGCCCTGTCATGAGGCAGCTGAACACTCCGGGCTGGAGAAACCACCCTTGCCTTTCCTCTGACCCTTATTCCACCGCCCAGCTTTGTGAGCACATTCCTGCCCAGCCAGTGTGTCCATTGGTCACAGTTTCTATTAAGCACACTTTGATTATTGTTTCAGCAGAGCCTTTCTATGGTTATATGTATTCATCGGGATGCCAGCTGGGTCTACAAGTCCCAGCATCTCTTCTTGTTTCACACTGTAGCAAAAACTTGAAAGAGGCTCCTAAAGCCAGGGAGTCTCACCCTCCTGCCTCGTTGGGCTGAGGCAAAGGCAGCAGTGACCTCAATCCTGCCGACACACAGAGCACACCAGGCCAGCTCTGTGTCACTCAGGCGCTCATGTGACACACAGAGACGTTGTGCCTTGTACACATAACCTGGGATCTGTGCCTGGATAACAATAATCCAATCCTGTGCCTGCATCAGGCGAGGAGGTGGCTGGAGAAGAACAGCCCTGTGGAGGTTGAATAGCCTCTGGTAGTTAGCTTAATATAAAGGTTATGGTGATCGATATTTCTGGCATATAAACATCATATTCCCACAGAGGTGCTGGAAGGAGTCCAGGAACTCTTGGAGCAGTCCCGGAGACCCTGGGAGGAGCCCCGGAGCATCAGGAACCTGAGAGGATCCTGGGACAGACCTGTGTCAGCCTCAGAGGTGCCCAGGGAGACACACACAGCTCATCCTTCACATCTGAAACCAGAATGCAGGAGGTTTATGCAGTTTCCTTTGAGATAGCTGAGTAATGCAGAGCCATTAGGGTCCAGATTTATCCACTAATTACGGGCATTGATTGAATAGCAAACTCTGGGCTGTGTTCACACTGGGATCAGTGAAAAGGGTTGGTTTGGCCCACCCCAGCTCAGCACCACTGACAACACATTTCTGTTCTCTGTAATGGTGTTTGATGTGACCAATTCCAAAAACTGCAGCATCATTTAAGTATCAGAGGCAGCCAGGATAAATCTGGGCAGGACTTGCTCAAGATTTCATACAAGGCTGTACTAATCAGTAAAGACAGCTTTTCCTCCAGGATGTGATGCCATCTCTTCAGAGCAATGCACAAAAGGAATACAGTCTTCTTTCTGATTAAAGGCAGGGAATGTAGAATGCCTTGCCTGTGTCGTGCTCTCCAGGAAAGTACATTCAGCATCAATTCTCATCAGGTGTGCTCAGCACAGCGTTCATAAATGTGTGCATTCAGGGAGCCCTGGAAAACCCTCCCTAAAATGGAGCAGGGGAGCCACTGCAGGGCTTGGATGATGTTTCCTGGTGCAGGTGCTGCTGGATTTAATGCAGATACAGTTGGGGTTTTTTTCTGCCAGGGCCAGAAAGCAAAGGCCTGCACGTCAGTGCCATCTATTTCCTCACTTCCTTAGCAATCCTGAGCCTTTGTGCTTCCCACAGCCTGTGCCTCAGCCAGTGCTGCCTTTCATGTTTGGGAAGCTGCTCTGTAATGTGTGGAGTGAGCAATGTTTGTCACCCCAAGCATTCCCAGAGGCAGTGTGAGAGTGGGAACGCTCTGCTCAGTTAAGGCTCCAATACCTGTCTCCAGAACACCATCAGGATCTCTCCTGCAGAGAGGGGTAGGACCCTGTGGGTGGTTAAATTTTGAGCTTCCACAGGTTTCCCTGGGAGATTCGGCCACCTGAATATCTATGGGATAGGAGACATTTCCAATTATTTGTGTAACATTTATTTTTGCTAATTCTAGCCCAGCCAGTGAGTACTTCTGGTCTTAGCTACGTGCACATCCACAGGAAATGACAATTCTATCTTAAATATTTTTGCATTTTAAAAAAAATGCCAGTACTTTTAAGCTCTCTGTGAGAAGGAACACAGGAGTCTGAGCCAGGAATCTCCACGGAGAGCTGCTGGAGCTGCCGACCATCTCAGCCCTGTGACTTCTAACGCTGTGGCACCACGAATTAGTGCGTGCCAGAAGGTGAGCTGGCAAGTGCCACAGCACGTCTGTGCCAGAACCTTGGCTCACATGAAGCATTCCTCCCAAGGCAAACCTCTGCATGAACCTCTGAGCACTGGGCATATTCTAGGAGAAAAAGCTGCACGTTCCCTGGTCCTGCCTGAGCCAAATGCTGAAGTGTGTTTGTGATAGTCGCTGGTTTGGTGGAGAGGCTGCAGCTCGGTGGAGTGGGGAACGTTGGAAAGCAAAAGGGAGGGCAGAGAAGGGAATAGCTCGACCAAGGTGGTTCCCACATCGTGTTTTCACTGAAGACATCTGTCTTAGCTGGTATTTGATTTCTTTGAAAGCTCTCCTCAAACTGCTGCGAGCAACGAGCAGGGAGGTTTCACCTCATTTGGGGGCTTCTACACTTCCCAGCTGTAAGTTTGCTGCATCAATTAATGCTGTAACAGAGTACTAGAAAACATCAGGGGCCACTGTTATGAGGCCAAAGACTCTGGGTATTACCCATAGCAAAACATGATAATGACGTTAAAGCTGACTTGGAACTTGCCCTTCTGTTTCACTGAGGGTTTTTTTACTTTTTATTGTAATTGTTTGGTTTGGTTTTGTAACTATTTTTACTACTTTTTTTCTTGGAAACAGATTTTACTGTAAATACAACTGGTTTGAGGGGAGTGGGGAGGAACTTTCTTTTAACTTTTGAATATTACCTTCCCCTTTTGCTGAACCAGTGTTCTCTGAGTGAGTATTGAGCTGATCCCTCCCCTCAGCAGGCAGGCAGGCAGCAGCTGTCAGTCTGCTCTTGGTGCTTAACCAGCAAGATAGAAGTCTGTGTCTGAAACAGCACTTAGTCTGAGCTGAGCCTGTACCTGGGCTTGCAGGAGCCCAAACAGAAATCCCAGAACTAATTCTGGTTCTGTAGGTAAAATCATGAGGCCCTGAGTTCCAGGGAGGGACACTGCAGGACGAGGGTGTGTGGGAGCTGCTGGTGTTGGGGTCATTCCAGGTTTATGGTAATGCTGAAGTGGGACGTGGGTATGTGCAGATGTTTTCTCATTCTAGTGTTTCTGATTGTTACTTCTAAGGATAAACAATCTTGTTTTTTAGAAATTATGCTGCTGAGAGACCAAAGTTCCTTGAAGTGAGGGGCTGCTTCCAGAGACTGGTGAGTGAGGAGTGCAGCTGTGGGATTCCTGCTTGAGAGAAATCAGAAGGGCTGGATGGGATCAATCCACAGGCCCACCCAGGCCAGTATCTTGTCTCTCATGATCTGCAGCAGTTACCAAAGAACAGAGCAAACAGATCTGGATGTGGCAGGTGGTTCAGGCAATTCTTTAGCCACAAGCAAGTAAGTTTTTGTTTAATAGCCCTAATGGGTTATTATGAATTTATCTAATCACCTTTTGCAGCCCTGTAAACTTTTGGCATAAACAACCTCCTGTCCTGATGAGGTTTAACCATGAGCTCTGTGGAAGAAGAGCTCCTTCCATTTGGTTTGATGGTTTCCACTGAGCTCCTCTGCTCAGAAGGCTGTGAGCCTGTCCCTTCAAAGCTTGCACTCCAGGAGTGTTTAATATTGTCAGTGATACTGTGAGGCAGAAGGTAAAGTTAAACCAGATTTTGAGTGGTTTAAAGTTCAGCATTGATTTTGCATTTGCACATCCTTGATGTTCAAAACCAGTGAACTTTGAACGCTGTTCCCGTGAAGGTTCCACAGCTCTGCTGCTGTTCATTGTCCACTGATAAGCCCAAAAACTGTCGCCTTCTTTCGTTTGGAAAATCTGTTTCTCCTGAGAATTTCCACCAAGAAGTGGTGACTAACTCGATCATGAGGTGCACATATGGTGACACCCCTGCTGTGAACAAAAATAAGCTTTCCTTCACACAAAAGTTGATTTTATCATTGCTCTGTCTCTCTCAAGCCTCCTCTTCATTCCCAGGCCAGTCCTCTTCCTGGAGGAATTATTATTTCTCCCCCTTGTTTCCAAAAGAGCCTTCATCCCTACTCCATGCAAGTGCCTGTCTCCCTGCATAGGGGAATTCTTCCAATACCACAGCTCCTTAAATCACTGGTTAGAGCTGCTTTCACATCCCACACATAGAGAGAGCTTCCTACTGCGGTGTCTTTCCCCTGCATCCACATCAGGAGTCTCCTTCACACGTTCCCAGAAATGCCTGCTTGCTAAATGATGTGATTTGTGGTGGGAGCAGCTCCTGGCTGTGTTGGAGATTTCCTGAGGCTGCCCTGGCAGCCTCCCTCTCCTGACTGATCCCTGGCATTGCACACAACTCCGGGAGCAGCAGTTCGTGTTCTGTGTTCATCTGACAGCCTCTGACTGCAGGAAGGCTGTGAGCACCTCACATGGAGGGCATGGAGGAAACCTGGTCACTGCTGTACAAACACACAGTGATTTCTGCACCTACAGAACATCAAAGCACTGTGACTTGCCTGGGTTTGATGGCTGTGTGAGAGGACTTTTATGTGAAGAAAGCTGTGGCAAAAATTGCAGGTTTGCTGATCCCAGTGTTCCTTCGGGCTTGTTCCTCTTCAGTGTGTTCAGAATTAGCTCCTCAAGTAGGAGTGACAGTCCATGAGGTAGGATACAAACATCATATGGCTTCCTATTTCTCTGGGAAGATACTCAGATATGTGATCATAAGCATGGTATAAGAACAACATGAAAATATACTGATACTAATTCCAGCCATCCTAAAAGACATTCCTCTCATCTGCTGCTGGATTTACCCCTCTAAGTGGTTGTGGATATCAAGGGCTGGGTCTCTCCTGGAAGAAAGAAACAATTCAGATCCTGTGGGGATGAACTTGGTACAGCAGAGTGGGACTGCAGGCAACCAGCTGTTATTTCTCTCAGTTTTCATGGGAATTCATTGGTACAACCCAGATGGGATGTGCTGGTTGAGAACCCATGGTGCTTTGGGAATGGTATAGAAAAACAGGAGCAAATGTATTCCTACAAACATGCCTAAATGACATTTAGGCCCCAATAGCCAGGCCAGCCAACCTGTTGTGTGTCTGGAGCTAAAACAGAGAAAGTGCTTTCTGGTGTCAATTTTTGTATCTAATACCTTTGATTTCCTTCTTACTGACAGTTGCTGAGAGCAGCAGAACTGCAGTTGCACATGAGCAGAGATTATCTGCCAGAAGGTCTCTCCCAGGGTTCAGCCTGAGTGAAAAGCAAGGGACCTGTGTATAAACATAAAGAACTTATGGACAGATAGAAAATCTTCATTATTTATCATTTCCACAATTGAATTCTAACCAAAGGCCTGCAAGCATCTTTGTTTCAAAGTGAGTTAGTTCATCTAGAACCTCCTTTTAAGTAGATTTCTGCTGTTCTGTGTAATCTAGGGATTAATTCTGCAAACTTGCATAGTGCTGACAGGAAGGAGCTGCTCTACAGAGAGCTGGGAGAAAGGAATATGGTACTTTGAATATTTTCCATTTTTTTCTCATAGATTCCCTGTTTTATTATTTTTTTGCTTTTTTTTATAACTAAAACCACACTGCAGTTTTAAAATCCTAATCTATCTTATCACCTAGTAAATACATCTATAAATGCTTTTATCTGGCAGGAAAAGAATCAAGTGGTTGTGGGTTGTTTTCTCCTGGCAGTGCCAGGGGTTTCACAGGCACAGCTCAGTGGCACGTGCAAGGCAAAAGTGAAGAGTCAGGAGGCCACGCTGAGCTCCTTGCCTGATTGCTCACTTATTACCTGCATGGAAGTCCCAGGGCTTCTAAACAAGAGCTCAAGGAAGTTCCAGCCATTGCTGTGCTTCTCTTGGACCCTGTGATCTATTCAAAATGAAGAAGGTGCAATGACTGACAGACCAGAGCACCTGGGGCTCCTGGCATCTCACTGGCTTGTTTCCATGTCTGACGGTGGTAGGATTCTTCTTGGGCAGGTTCCAAATGTCAACCAGGAATCCCAGAGCTCACCTCTGTGCTGACAGGTCACAGAGCCAGAGCTCTGTTTAGTGATTGCATTTCCAGGTGTGGGATGAATGAAGTCTCAGGAATTTCCCCGCTATCGCTGACTCCATGATAACCTCTTTTTTCTCTCTACCCAGGCTTGCCTAGATCCTTCCAACATTCTTCAGAAGGTTTGAGCAAAGAACACATCAAAAGGTGTAGGCACGTCTCCCACCAACTAAATACCAGCAGCCAGGTTATCTGAAGTCATTTTCTTTCACTGTGCCTTCAGGTGTTCCCATTGTACCCCCAAAATACAGCAAAACACAGCAAAACAGCTCTGGAGTAAACAGGCCAAATCAGCACCCCCCATCCCGCTCACTGAAACATTCTGTGTTCACAATAACCCCCCTGCTTTGATCCCTTGCCAAGAATAACACAGTCTATTAAAACATCTTTAATAACATGATATAATTAAAAATATCTAACGTGCAACTCGAAGAAATGAATATGAAGCTTGTTTAAGTCTTGGGGTTTCCACACCCCTCCAAACTTGACTGACGGGTTCCAAACCTTCGTTAATTGGATACCCCAGTATTTATGTGTGTGTGTGTGTCCTGTGTATCAGCTGGGAGCAGAAGTGGCAAATAATCAGATTTGAAAGGATTTAGGTGCCATGGTAGCTTTAAAAATCCTGCGAGGCACATCACTGCATGTGTGAGCATTTACATTTCTGTTTAAAGTGGCCTGAAATGCATTGGAGACACTTGTCCCTGAGGCTTTTATCAGCCTGTGTGTTTTAAGTCTCTGAAGCAACTGAGAAGTGAACTAAATGCCTCAGTCAAAGGACAGTGTTTGACTGAATCAATCCCTTCTCTTCACAGTAACACAGGGAGTTTGTACAGCACCTCATCTTTTAGACAAGCAGAGCAGGCCAGAGGAGCCGGAATGACTGCCAAGTCCCTGAGGAATCCTGACTATTGGATTATGCAGTAACTCTGGTCGTGGTCTAATACAAAAGTCAGTGTTCTGACAATCAGGAAAGCTTCTGTTCCTGGGTCTGCTCTGGTCTAAAGGACGTCAGATGAGTCACTTGCACAGTCAGCGAGACAAGCAGGTCAGTGCAAATAAACAAACAGATGAACCTCAGCCCAGTTTGAGCCCAGTTTTAGCAGAGGTGAAATTAAATGTGTTCATTGAAGTCCTGGTTAAAGAGTTTAAATTGGCAGTTTTAACCCTGAGTTGCCATGATTCAGCTGAGAGACAAAAACTCAGCTGTGTGTCTGTGCCCTTTGTTTCTCCTTTGATGCTCTGTAGAGACCAAGATTAAAGAGCATTGGTTTTGAATGAGTATTCACTGGATACTGTCACTGAAATGGAAGCACAGGCAGGTCAGCAGTGGCAGGCAGGAAATACCTGCATTTTCCCTAGAACATGGAAGCAAGTTGGCTGTTACATTCTGACCATATTTTAGTGCTCTTCCAGTCTTCACTAGTGGCAATACTACAGGTATCATCTCTTGAGGAGAAGACAGAGCACTCTTTGTCAGACACCAGCTCTCCTGATTTGACAGGATTATTCAATACTAGCTCCACAATAGCTCAGGGCCTGCCTGCTGAGGCATCGCCTCGTGCTTGACATGAGCAATCCCAGCTGTAGCCCAAGGAAGAGCCGTGCAGGCTGTTCTTGTTTGGAGGATGAATAGCTTGCCATCCACTGGGAATCCCAGGTTTCCTGTGGAGCAGGATCCATTGTCTCAAAGTACAGTAGTGCAAGTGCCAGCTAGTTGAAATAAGGCATCAAGGTTCTGGGAGTCCTGCAGGGAAATCACTTCCAGCCTCCAGTGCCTTACACCTCTGTGGTTTCTGTCTGGACCCTGTTGACTGTGCTCTGGCAAGAGTCTTGAGACCCACAGAAGTGTCAGTTGTCATCAAAAACGCTGCTGTTTCTGTTGCTGAGGGTGTTCTCCTTGGCCATCACCCGGTACGAGATGCGCATGAACGAGCCAGTGAGCAGCACCACGAAGAGGATCAGGAGCAGCGACCACACCCCTGGTTCAATCCCCTTGAGGATGCTTGGGCTGTCCTGGGGGATGGTGTTGGTCAGGCTCAGCAGGTACCCAAGAGTCCAGCCAGATGATCTGTCACCCATCTATTGAAATAAAAAGGAGGAGATGTCAGAAGAGAAGGAGACAGTCTTGACCCCAGCTGTGTTGTTGTGCACGGGCCAAAGGCCTCATGCACCTTATCTGAGACTGGTCCAAGGACTGGGCTTGGAATTAAGAGCTCTCCCTCTCTCAGTGCCCTGAGTGCACCAATGGGCCTTACTGGCCCCAACCAGCCTCACCTGGCACTTCCACCCACACCCCTGCCCATGGGCACGGGAGCTCCATTTAAGCTCTGGTCTGGGCATCCACCTCTTTCCTGAGCTGTGCTGTAGGTGTGTGCCGTTCCTGCTCCCTGACTGGTTTTCCCAGGTGGATCTCAGGTCTGCATTGTGAGCAGTTCTCTCTCAGACCTTTGTTGTAGGTTGCTTGTCTCTGGCTTTCCAGGCTGGGCTCCCTGGGGGGCCCTGGTCCTGCCTCTTTACCTACCCTTTCTCTGACGGTCACCACGTGGCTGACTGAACTGCAGCCCTGCTCAGTGGTACCACGGCTTTGTGGGGAGTTGGGAAGAGGTCTGGGAAAAGAATTCCTTTTCCTTTGCGTAGGGGAAGGACCCGAATCAAATCCCCCTTTCCATAGGGGCTCCAGATCCTGAAACAATTTCAGACCTTATTAGATATTAGGTTAGATTATTAGATATTGGGAAGGAATTCTCCCCTGTGAGGGTGGGGAGGCCCTGGCACAGGTTGCCCAAAGAAGCTGTGGCTGCCCCATCCCTGGAAGTGTCCAAGGCCAGGTTGGACGGGGCTTTGAGCAACCTGGCCTGGTGGAAGGTGTCCCTGCCCCTAGCAGGGGGGTGGAACCAGATGAGCTTTAAGGTTCCTTCCAACCCAAACCAGTCTGGGATTCTGTGATTATAAGGCATTTATAAACCCTCACTAGTAAAAAGGGTGAAAGGGTTACAAAGAGGTAGGACAGCATCTTTTGGCTCAAGAAATTATATCAGCAGTTTGCCTTCAGCATTAAGTGGAGATCAAGCTGCACTTCCTTCCCTGTCACAGACTCCTAAAGACAGTACTGCTCCAGATAAGGTCTGTTTTTCAGCGGGGACAAGTGTCACCTCTAGCTCTGTGACACCGGTTTTCTTCTTTATCACAACTGTGAATCCACTTTGCAAACCCATCCTGCTGGAGAAGCCCAGCTGGTCAGGGCTTGTGAGTGTGGAACCAGCCCTCCCTGGTAACTGGTGACTGACCTTCTTCTGGAACGCAGTCCAAGCAGGCCGGTCAACGTCGAGCGTGTACCCCTTTGTACTGAGATGGAAGATGAAGGCAGACACAGCACAGTACTCAGCAAGTGTATCCTGGCTTGCTTGGGACTCCCTAACCAGCTGGTGCCATTTCCAAAAAAAAAAAAAAAAGATGGGGAAAAAATTTAAAGAAGTATTCAATAGGTGAATTTCAAGCCAGCTATAACCTCTCCTTTCCTGCTCTGGGACTGGAGGAGGGGTTTGTGTCCTGTGCAGACTGAAAGCCATTTCCAGCACCCACTGGGCTGTGATCTGGGAAGCAGTGTCAGCTCTCAGTGCCTTTGTTCCCATCTTATTAAGCCAGGCAGATCCAAGAGCAGCAGCACTGGCAGCCAGGTCTCCCACTGGCCTTGCTGGTGGCTTGCTTGGTGTGATTCCCTGCTCTTTAATTAGACTGAGCTAATGCTGCAGCCTTTCTCTCAGCAGGAACAGCCTTTCCTCCATCCACAAGAGAATGATTTTGGGCTTTGCTGCCTTATCAGCAAACCCTGTAAGAATTGTCTCATTCGGATGTTACTGTGGATGCTCAGTCAGTGTCAGTGCAAATAGGGGTGACCTCAAAACCACCAGCTGAGGGAAAGGACTGGCAAATTCCCCCTGGCTTGTTCTCCTTGGGCCCAGGTGAAATGGGAACATCCTTGGAGTGTGAGTGGAGCCTTAAGGAGAGGAGGATAACAGGAAGACCAAGTGATGTACAGGAGAGAGTCGACAGCCTTCCTGTATACTCCTTAAAATACAGTAAAAGGTATTTATGGCTTTTCATTTAATTAAGTGCAGGTGCTACCAGCAGCTGGGATTTGGGAGGAAGGAAAATAAGTGGAGCCTGTTTCCTCAAAGTAAAAAAACCAAACAAACTGAAAACCCAAAAACCTAAACTACCCCCCCCCCGAAAACCCAAACCTCACAAAAATCAGGCAAATCCAAGTTTTTCCCTAAGGGAGCCTATAAGTTACAGCTCTCTAAGTCTGAGCTCTGTTGGCTTTTACAACAGGCTCTTTCTTACTTCCCACTCTCCCTGCACATGAAGTTATTCCACAGTTACCTCTTTGAGGGACATCCCACACAGCCTCTTGACAGCCTGGCCCAAGTCAGGAGAGGGAACAGTTTCTCTCATGAAGTCCATGGCCTCAGAAATCACCTACAACAGCAGCAGAAATAACCATCAGGTGGGACTGTGCTCTGTGTCCCTGCATTGCACTCTGTGCCCACAGGAAAGGGAGGGGCAGTGCAGTGCCAGGGTGCCCTGTGTGTGCTGTGGTGGTGGTGTCAGGGCCTCGGATGGGTGCAAGGAAGATAAGATTTGTTACTGTCTGGAGATGGAAACAGGTCTGTTCCACATGCAGAAGCCTTCCTGGCCCTGTATGGATAAGTAGACTAGTCACAGAATCATAAAATCATTTAGATTTGAGAAGGTGTGTGAAATCAAGTCCAACCATTCCCCCAGCACTGCCAAGGCCACCACTAACCCATGTCCCCAAGTGCCACATCTACATGTCTTTTAAATCCCTCCAGGGATGGTGACTCCACCACTGCCCTGGACAGCCCGTTTCAGTGCCTGACCACCCTTTTGGTGAAGAAAGAAATGTTTCCTAATATCCAACCTAAATCTTTCCCTGGCACAGCCTGAGGCTGTTTCCTCTCATCCTGTCCCTTGTTCCCTGAGCCTGACCGCCCCCCCCAGCTCCCCCCTCCTGTCAGGGAGTTGCAGAGCCAGAAGGTCCCCCCTGAGCCTCCTTTGCTCCAGGCTGAGCCCCCCCAGCTCCCTCAGCTGCTCCTGCTGCTCCAGCCCCTTCCCCAGCCCCGTTCCCCTCCCTGCACATGCTCCAGCCCCTCAAGGTCTGTTGTCTGTCTTGTAGTGAGAGGCCCAAAACTGAACCCAGTATTCCAGGTGTGGCCTCACCAGATCCTTGTGCTCCTCAGCACCAAGTCCATGGGAGACTCAGGAACAGGGAGCTGGGGAAATTCCCAGAATTACCTTCTCTGAAATGCACTTAGTTTTTCCTGGGATCTTTAGCTGCTCTTGGCTCAACAATCCAATGCCTTTGGACACTTTATCCGAGTTCTCAGATAGAAACATGCTGGTGGTGCAGCGTGCCCTGATGTTTGCTGAGGGAGTGGCAGAGGATCTTCAGCTTTACCATGGACTTGGTGTGGGAAGACCTGCTTAGCACACAGCTCCTGGCTCTCCTATCCCTGCTGGCTCTGTGGAGCCCCAAAATTGGTCTCAGGAGCTCCACCACAGTCACTGGTAGGAAGCCAGTGGTCCATGAAGAACAGCTGTGTGACAATGAGGGGGAGAGGGCAGGAGTGTCCCGGTGTGGCTGTTCCCACTGTATTTATTAATGGTCAAACTGGTCCCATTTCATGGATTCTCTGTGCCAGCTGTCTGCCCCAGTGTAAATGAGAACTCACCAGAAACCTGGTCCGGAGGGGCTGGAGCACACTGCTGAGGGAATGCTTGGAGAAGCTGCAGGAAGAGGAGGAGTTGAGCAGCTTTTGCACAAGTCTCATGCAGGCGGTGGGGCTGCTGGAGCCCGTGATGTTGAAGACCTCCGTGGGGCCAGGGGTGTCCCATGTGTCACCACTGACAGCACAAGGCCCAGCATGCACTGACTGCCACTGCACTTCCCGCGAGTAGGAGAGGGGCCAGCAGGGATTAGACACAGTTTTAGCACTTCTCTGCTCCTGGAGGCAGAATAAAACAAGGACAGCAAGAGATGACATGGCATCCCAGGGCTTCACACAGGGAGCCAGAATGTTACCACAGTGCAGGACAGATTTCCTCTGGCCACCACAGTGTTGAAGTGGAGCAGGAGGCTGTGAAAGGGTGGCCAAATCTTATGTCACTTATGTCATTTATGTCACTGAGTGAACCACGAGGCCCAGGCTGCTGCAGCTCTCTGCTGGGGCCCTCTCACAGCTCCTGCTGGGGCCGGGGCAGCCACAGGGCTTGGACCTGCTCGGGGGGGGCTGAGGAGTCCCAGCCCTGCCTGCCCTCCCCTAGACCAGAAATACAGTTTCATGCATCCTGTACTCTTTCTAGTTGCAAGAGAGAGGCTGTTTAGGTCTGCCTTCCAAAGGCTTAACCCCTCAAGAATCAGTGTTTCTTATCTCTAGTAATTCCCCAGTGTAACTGTGGTGAAGTTGGCCTCCATGAGGGACATTCAGGTCTCAAACAAGGGCAGGCAGAGTTTGAAGACAGGCAAGTGCATGGGCAGGGAGGAGTTAATTTCTGAAAAATTAGTTTTTTATGCAGACTAAAGTGATTCCTGAGTTTGTATCAGATCCTATCCAACTCCCACCATTCCCCAAATGAAATAACATTTGGAAGAACCAAAACACCTGCATGTTTTCAAAATGAAATATTGCCCTGTTAAAGATACTTCAGGGTTAAAGCCAGCAAAGGGATTATCCCAAATGAAAGGTCCCAGCTGGGGACCTGGGTTGGTTGGTTCCCATTCTAGGATGGAGGAGCAGTTCACAGAAGGCAAGGGAAGCCTTGGCTTCTTGTCACCCTGAAAAGGATGTTGGCATGTCTGGAGAGCAATTTTGTGCTTGTGTGTATTAAGTAGGAGGCCAAGTAGAGCCTGCAAGTGGGAAACTCTAGAATGGGTGCCTGTGTGTCTGTTTGGAGGGCATTGGTTTGGGCATAGAGGGTACATTTTACGAATGCACTGGGCTCTCTTTAGATATGTGCAAATGGCCTCCATTAGGGGCATTTTGCCCATTAGAAGCTACACCTTGTGCAGCTGTGATTTAGTGATGTGGTATCCAGGGACTTTGCTCGTGTCCTGTGGCAGAACTCACCTGGATGAGCAGGGAGAGCAGCCTCCTGTGGAGCTGGTCGGTGCCATGGCAGGGGCACTGACGAGTGTACACCCTGTGCATCTGCCCGTACAGCTGCAGCCTCACCCCTTCCTCTGGGACCTGGTTCTCCTCTTCCAGCTGGGAAGTGAGCCGTGTTGAGGTTCCTCCCACGGACAGGACTCCTGCCATCCCCTTCCCGGAGGGCACCAGCTGCCCTCGCCAGTCGTACTGACCAGAAAGAACCAGAGAGGTCAATCCTTGAGAATTCTCCATCTGGGTCACAGTCAAGTGCAAACAGTGCACAGAGGGACAAAACACCTTGGTGGTGCAGCACAGCCCAACTCTTTCTTTGCCCACAAGACACATGGATGGCTTTGGAGGGAATAGAAGAGTCATTGTACAGGCACTGCCACCTGCACAGAGACCTTCCCACAGCCCATGGGGGCAAACAGGGCTCACCAGCCTGGGGGGGCTGCTCAAGGCAGTGGTCTCAGCAGGCAGGAGAGAGGGGAGAGGGAATGGCAGGGATGTTTCCAAGCGGGCAGATATGGGCTTCAAGTGCTGCCTTGATGCTAAAGTGATCCTTCTGTGAGAAGAACCCTGTGGTTTCATCTCCTGCAGTCACTGACGTGAGCATCCTGAACGTTGTCCAGAAAGCCTCATGTCTGTCAGGGCAACTGCATGGGTGTGTTCATGAAAGGCTATAGGAGAGGTTTGGTCCTTCAAACTAGTTATAACCATAGAATCACAGAATGGTTCAGGTTGGAAGGGATCTTAGAGCTCATCCCCTTCCACCCCCTGCCATGGGCAGGGTCACCTTCCACTAGCCCAGGTTGCTCCAAGCTCTGTCCAACCTGGCCTTGGACACTTCCAGGGATGGGGCAGCCACAGCTTCTCTGGGCAACCTGTGCCAGGGCCTCACCACCAACTCACATGAGGCTGGCCTTTGATCCAACCTGCCTCCTCTGAAAGGCAGTGGAACTTGTGCTTAACCACTGCTTAAACTACAGGGTTTTATCAATCCCTCCACATCTCTGTAGCTGTCTGTTAGCAGGATTTGCTCAGCCCCAGGGAGAATTGTCCTTTACCTTGAAGAAGTTCTCCAGGACATAGTTCACAGCAACCCAGTTGAATGCTTCCTCATCTGGGCTGGACAGGATCTGTGCCCCCCGAAAGCTGAAGGGGGATGACTTCAGGGCCACAGTCAGGGATGCAAGGAGATCATCAGAGAGGGTGGGATGGGTGAGGCTAAAAAGAAGACAAAAAAAGGATGTATTTGTTGTTACAGGACCCTGCAGGGCTCCTGCTGTGCACCCCACTTTGGGCAGTGGCACAGAGACACAGCAATCCCACTCCTGCTGCTGCTTCCCCTCCCCTCACGTGGCACTGGGGGCAAGAACAGCACAGGGATGATTGGAGCAGTTGTGGCATCGTTCAAGAATTTAGGACTTCAGTACCCTCTGCCACCAAGGAAATCCTCTGGCCTCACCCCACTGACCTGGTCCCCTCCAGATCTCACTTTTCCCCAGTGCCTAAAAGGAGAAAAAGTCCTGGTAATGAGGGGACTCAGAAGAGTTTCCACAAGTGTGTATGATAAGATGGACCTTCCTGCTGCCATTCCCAATTTTTTGACAAGAAGCACCCCTGCAAGTCCATGTGTGTTGTCACATAAGCTGAAAACACTTGAGCTTCCAGACTGACGGATGTTTTCCGAAGCAGTAATTGTGAAACTGTAATTGGGAAGGAAACACAGCACAGACTGGCAGCAGTGGCAGCACTGTGATCTCATGGCTGCTGGGGGGACAGGATGGAACCACAGCCATGATATTCCTCTCGAGGACATCTGGGCCTGAGGGAGGTTTAGCTGACCAGCAGATCAGGGTGGAACACACTGCAGAGCAGACAGGGTGAGGTGCATGCACAGAATGATCCGTGTGCTGATCTCTGGGTGTGGGTTTGCAACATTCACTCACTTCAGGTGCCTCGTGCTGGTGGTGGCTCCCACGTACAGTGGGGTTTGGCTGTGCTGCTCTGCTGGGATCTCCTTCTGGGCCCAGTTCAAACATGGCTCCAAGCTCTTCCCTGCTTTCTGAGGAGAATCTGAGTAGTTGGAGACTCCCAGACCTGAGAACCAGGGGACAGAATGAAATTTTAGGGAAAGTTATGGGAGAACTGTGAGAACTGTTACCCCAGAGATCACTGTCCTAGGGCATGGTTAAAGGCAAGACCTGTCACAGGTGGAATGAAGGAACTCCTCCAGGTATCCACCCTGCTAAGATATGGTACTGGGAGCAAAACATGTGCATATAAATCCCAAACTGCACTAACAGAACCTCGGCTCTGCTGCTGAGATATCCACATGGCTGCTGCAACAGCTGAGGCTTTCTCAGCCCACAGAGGAAGAAATGTGGCTTTAGCTGCTATAAAAATAAGCAAAAGGACACATTGCCACGGAGACAGAGCTGAGGCTGATGTGTCACCTTTCCCCTCCAGCCACTTCCCCTTGTGTTGGCAGAGGTTCCTGAGCCCCTGCCTGCAAGGCACCCCTGCTCCAGAGGAAGCTGGTGCTGTGCAGAGGTGTTGTGTGCCAGCCTTGACTCATTTTTCCAGCAAGTCAATGGGGTCTTAAATACTGGTTTTGAACTGCTACTCAGGAAGATCCTCACTTCCCCATTCTCATCCTCCTGGCTGTGACTCCTCACCACGTCAGGGTGACCCAAGGGGCCTCCCTTAGGCCCCTTTTAGGGCCGAGCTGCAGCTTTCCTACAGCTCCTGCAAGGCTGTGACTGTGCTGCCATGCACACAGGACTCCTCATACCTGGGCAAGAGCCCTGCCTGGGCCTCCTGTTGCTGCTGCTGAGGACAAACTGCCTCCCAGAGCTACAGCTGCTGCTTTTAGCCCAGCCATGAACATGGCAGCAGTCAAGGGACACACACAGGGTTTCAGGGAGCCCTTATTGCACCTTCTGTGGGTGGTTTGTGTTTCTTGCTGCCCTCCCACAGCACACTGAGGGTTCAGTCCTTCCCAGCATCCCGCTATAATCAGGCTTTGACATCAAAGCAAGATTGAGAGATAGGGAAGGAAAACCACAAGCATTAATGCATGGAACCCTTTCAGCTGGCATTGGCAGGGTCAAACTGATTCAAACCGGTGAGGAAAACCCCAATATTCTCTGAAATGTGACACCTAAAGGCAAGCTGAACTCCTGCTTGTGCTGTCAAACCCCACACAGGGGGTTGGAGCCTTTTCATCTCTGTTGTCCTGGGGCTACACCACTTACTGCCCAGGGCACAGCTAGGAGGAGGCAGAAGGTCCCAGGAGTCACCCTGCAGCCAGATCTGTGTCCATTGCTGTTCACTGCCTTGCTTTGGCTCTGCCGCTGATCCATGTGGACATCAGGATGAGCCCCAACCTCTCTGTGTGCTTCCCCTCCTGCAGCAGCCCCAAAATCCTGTCATCTGCTCCTGCCAAGTGCCTGATGCCCAGCTGTGTGTGGCTAAACCTGCCCAGTGGAGAAGAGCCATGCTGAAAATAAGCTTGTGCTTCGCTATTTCCGTGCACAGCTGGGTGATGAAGGAGCCAAGGAATTTGTGGCCCTGGTCCAACACAGGTCTTTGGGTTCCCATCCATCCATCCCCTGCCAGTCCCACAGACCACCGAGCAGGAACTGGGCACCTCACCTTGCACAGGGCAGGAACTGCATCCCCTGATCACCCCGGTCTTGTTTGCCTTGGTGGCTGTCCACTGGTAGATGAAGAGGATGGTGCGGGACGGGCCAGCATCCAGAACGATGCCATACTGGAAAACCCGCAAAATATTCCAGGTAAACACCACTGAATGCATGCTGCTTTGTTATTGTAGGGTTACTCAGTGTTATGTGAGTACTCAGGGTGATCTCTGGGCCTGCACTGCAGAATTTGAGTTCACTTTTTACATTCAAGGAGAGAATGAAGCCAGGAGATGATGAGGATTTGCAGGGAATCATCTGCATTCCTGAATATACATGAGGAACAGCAGGAATGGAGAAATGCCCAGAAACACATCAGGCCTCCAGTGGCACCCTCTGGAGCTGTTCCTGAAACCAGGCAGAGGGCTTCCACCAGAGCTCAGCCACCTGGAGCTCAGGAAAAACAGGTCCTAGAGCAGTGGGAGATGGCACTGTACAGGTTCTCCACTCAGTCTGGGGCTCAAACTGCTGCTGATTGGTTTGCTAAGGCTTTTGTGCAGGAATGGGAGGGCTGTGGCTTGTTTCTCCTGAGGAACCCGACACTCCCATGTCTCTTTGACGCCCCAGTGCAGCGATGGTGTGACATGGGCTGGGTTTGCCCCAGTGTGTGCAGAGCTGTGGGAGCTGCAGCACGCTGGGACCAACCAGCACAGGCACTGTGTGAGGTGGCAGCCCCACAGAGACAGAGACAATGTCTTGGCAGAATGAGCAGAGCAGTGACCATGAGCTTTCTCAACCCCTTGTCCCCCAACAGCTCTGCTACTGCCCAGCTGTGGGGCTGAGGCATCTCTGCCTCTCTGCACCCCAGTGTCTGCTGTTTGCTGCTGATTGAGCCTCACTGAGCTGCTCCCAGGACACGAGGGTGAGGAACTGGAGGCCACTGGAGTCCCTGCACAGCTGTCCTGGATGTCCCCACAGTTCAAACAGCCCCAGTGCTGGTCCAGGGCATCGTGCTCTCCCCCTATTACATGACCCCAATCTGGGACATCTCCCACACAGCCTGGAAGGAAACTCATGAGATATGTGGTGGTGCTGCTCTGAGCTGCATCTTGCACACAAATAGTTGGAGCTGTGACTGAGTGGGAGGAGAAACCTCCTCAGAGGTTGATGTTAACAGCACCAGAAGGGTTTCAGAGGGGGGCAGAGCTGCTGCCTGCTGCTCTCCTGGGAGCTCCGGCTTCACCAGACACCCAGGGCAGGGGTTGGTGGGGCTGGGCTGGAGCAGAAATGCGGGAGGAGGCTGGAGCTCCCTGCCCGAGCCTGCTGGCACCTCCCACACCAGTGACAGCTCCGATTCCTGGCAGGGACGTGTCGGCTGCTGCCGCACAGGAGGAAGGAACAAATGGTATTGGTGGAGAAACTTGGACCATTTTTTCCTCCTTCACATAATGAGAGGCTGCTGTGGGAGCGCCAGGGAGGAGGGGAGGGATCACCACACCCCTGCCCAGCTCAGCACCAGGGAAGGACAGAAAGCAGAGCAATGAGGGGGTTTTTAGTCTAATTTTGTTTCTGACAGGAGCATGGAGGACGGATACTATCTCTAAACACACAGGATAACCTACTTCTCTTGGGTTAAACCATGGTGTGCCACTGGACCTCAGCAATGGGTGTTCAAGAGGCAGAGTGGGTGGGTATTAACCCCCCTTCAGACCTGGCCCTGCTGTGTAGAGCAGGTTGGCTCTTCACTTAAAATCAAGATAGGACCAAAGAGGAGAAGGCATGAAAGACAATTTGTTTTTAGAGACAGAAGCAGCAGCTCAGAGCCAAATTCCTACCGACTTTCAAGAGGGACTGATCTCTTTCCCTCCACTGACCCCACTGGTCCCTTGCTGCTCTGGGGGAGCTCCAGACATGAGCTGCCTCCCCTCAGCCTGCTGTGAGCATCTCTGCAAATCCATGGAACATATCCTGCTGTATTCCAGGACCAACCAAAGGAGTTGGCTTGGTTTTGGTTCAAAAAGCTACAGCAAGTTGAAGGATGCCGACCTGCCCTGGCAGTCTTGTTCTAGTCCCCCGCTCAGTAATAAAATGAATGTCCAAAGCAACACAACAGCCCAGTTTAACTGCCCTTACCTTGGTCCTGAGAGGGGCCACGGGCACATCTTTGGTGGAGACACAGAGCAGCACGATGCCCGTCAGTCCCGCCACGATCACCAGCCAGGGGGGAAGGAGCTCACGCCAAGACATGAAGCGCCTTCTCCTTCCTCAAGGAGCCCAAAGGGGAAGCAGTGGAGCAGCAAACTGACACCGGCTGCTTTAACAACCTTTAAAGAGAGAAAAAAGGCGGGGCCGGGGCCAGGCTCTGACTTCAGCCCAGCCCCAAAGCCACAGGGACCACAGGGACGCGTGGGCCAGGCTGCGATGTGTCAGGCAGCTCTCCCTTCCATCCCTTCTCTCCATAAATAACAGGAGGGCTCCGTGCCCGCCCCAGTTCTCCCTTCCATCCCTTCTCTCCATAAATAACAGGAGGGCTCCGTGCCCGCCCCAGTTC